ACGTACTGTTCGATGACTGTGTTGGCTGTGCAGGTAGCGGTGACTCATTTTCGGCAATACGAATGACGATTGTTTTTAGTCCTTTATTTACCAGTCGTGCTATCTGGGACTGAAAGTACTTGTGAGACAAGTCAATTTCTGGTCGATTATCTTCCGCCAAAATCATTCGCAACGATTCGGCTGGCAGCAGCATCTTCGCAATATGAGGAACTTCTTGTAACATTCGAGAGCAAAATCCATCGTAACTGTAAGACAATAACTCATCCGTACTAATAAATAACGGGGTAACCCTTCGCTTAGAATAATAAAGGTAGTCAAACTGAATTTCGATTATGTTATCCATCTCTGACAAATGCGAACACGTGTAAACAACACAAGAACAAAATGCCTTCCCGCCCTTAGCAACATATAATTTGCCACTTGACAACACCCGCGTTTATCTGTTGGAACGTTCACCTGATCGTGACGTCATTAAACACTCAACCTGAATCCGCAGTAAACGTAGCCCTGTTGTTTTAAATGTCAGAAACTATTATTAGCTCATGACTCCATGTACAGACGTCTAATCCCACGTCTTTAATAAATCCACACATTTTACAGCCTTAATTAATTATTTTCTTTAAATTGTTCTTAAAAGTAATGAACTGTATGAATAGCAGATATTTAGCTCCATATAAAAAGAAACATTTTTGTATGATTGTTATCAGTTGCCGTGATTCGGGATATAAATGGTTCTCGTCCTCTTAATTTAGAAGTCACTGGTTAAATGTAAATATTATATCTGAAGCAGGCATATAATTTCAACTAGCACAATTTCGCACAATTGCTGTAAAAATGTGATTCCGAGAATGCAACATCAATGCAGTAAAGGCCTGATTCCACGAGCGTTTTTTCTCGGCGAAATGCGAAACATTTCTACTTACTGCGAAAGGGGACAAAGTGGGACAATTCAATATAATCGCTCATGTGCAACCACCGTATTTCGCAGACACAAGTTCTCGCGACGAATTTCGCCGTCGTGGAATCAAGCCTTAAGGTCCAGACACACCGGACGCGATTCGACAACGCGACGCGATTTTTCAGTTTTTGAAAAACAGCCAATGAGAGCAAATCAGTTTGAAACATATGTAGACCAAGTAACTTAAAATGTTATAGCGCTTCTAAATATTTGGAAAATTTAAACTTGGATCAAAGTTATCGGTCAGTGAAAGTCGAAAAATCGCGTCGCGTTGTCGAATCGCGTCCGGCGTGTCTGGACCTTTAATGCGCAGATACATGTACGCGGTCGCGTACCTATTTTTTAATTATGTTTTAGAATTTACAAATGCTTTATTTGTATTTATACTTGTACTGCATCACAAGGCAGTACGTAAGTGAAAAAATTCCACATGTGAGATTGTCTTGTATAGGCCTACATTTTTCCTTTCTTTGATAAACATTATTAAACACGCAAATGTTAATTAGTGAGACGCAATGTTAAATGTCACCTGCATGTCATTGTCATTGCCCTTTAACCCCTGGTCTAATTGGCCGCTTTTGAAAATGTTGATCATGACGAACCGCACTGCCTTAATTATGCAAACTTTGTGTTTTAAAAACGGGTTATGATAAAACGCGGATACGGACGGACGGATGAATGACGGACGGACGGATGGCGACGGCCGGCCGGACGGATGACATATATATATGTCATTATATAGTCTGCGCGCAGCCGCGCAGGGTAGTTAGTGGCTTACGTCTTCGCTGGTTGTTATACTTTAAAATAATTTTGTATATACTGAGAAATCAATATTCCGAGTATATAAATATATAAACTGGGATGTTACACTGATAGCTTGTTTACATTTCCTGGAGCATCAAATCTTATGTTTAACCACGGTGGTTTAACCCATTAGCTGGCAATGCGCCCTTCCCTTGTCCAGCGCCAGAAGATTTTACTCGTCAGTGGTATTGGGTAATGCCAGTAAATGGGTTAACAAACCTATCTGCCAATGTCTCTTATTAATCCATCAGCACAGTAATGACCCCTACTTTAGTATTTACCCTGTCCAACGCCAGACGATTTTTAATACTCAGTCAGTGGTAGGGTACTGTCAATAAATGGGTTAACAAGGATAACAATAATAGGATGTTTCTGAAGGACTCGTTCAACACCCTGTAGTTTGTCTTTTGCTGTCAAAGGCAGCATTACTGCCCTGTTGGTAACCTAGTATAAATGTAAAAGCACTGCTTCAGTCATTTAAGATCCTCGTCCTCAACTGTTCAACATGCAGAAACAGCAGAAAACATGATATATGACCATATAGTGATATTTTGCAAATTGCATGGTTTACATTGGGTTTAGTGGTTTACACTGGACAAATCGTTTCGCCATACACCAATATACATATACCTGGGGCTGGTTGTACAAAGGCCGGATAGTGACTTTTTTAACCTTTGTGAAAATGCCTGGAAAGCTATCATGCTTACTCATGCTGCCGATATATGGACCTGACAATTAATAAAAAGAAACTTATATTTATAAATAGTAAAGTTTAATTTGGGTTATTCCAATCAACAGACAAGTTTAGAAAGCTTGAAAAATCTTTATCCAGTGGATAGCGCTATGCGGCCTTCGTACAACTGACTCCTGGGGACGGTTGTATAAAAACGCGATTAAAGTTAACTATACAGTTAGTGCAAACGTCATCCAATAAGAAGCGTGTATTTGAGAGTTAATCACTATATTTATAACTACAAAATAGTGATTAAGAGTTTTATACAACCGGCCCCAGGAATATAAGTTTACGAATATGTGCATCCATCCATGCCTGGAAAAGATTTGATGTTGGAGGTGAGTGTAGGAAAACATGAAGGTACGCATACGGCATCCAAAAGTCTTATTACGATACTCTTTGTGTTGGTGTTATGTACTCGGGTGAATATGATGTTTGTGCATGGTGTTACTCTGAGTGTGCATCCACACCGGGTAAACTAAAACGTTTGGTGGGTTCGATTCCCACCGTGTTCATGCAAACTTTTCAGCTTGCCCGGTGTGGATGCACACTCAGAGTAGCACAACAAACGTCTTATTACGAGTTTACATTATTATTTTATCTATGTAAAGAATGAACTCAACATCTCACCATAAACTTTAATATTCGAACTTTATTTTCCGTTCTGGTCACACCATAATAAATTTTACATTTGATATGCCACAATTTAAAAAGTTAAGTTAGAAGATCTTAAACATTTAAATATAGAGTTAGGCCACGCTTTCTTATTTGTTGGATTACGGATTTTGCTCACCAATAGGACAAGAAGGTGAAAGAAAAAGAAAAACAAATTGTCCAAATATCAATTATCCTTCACGGCCATGTTTCCACATGCAAGTTTAGACTGTAGGTCAGCATGACTTTATTCCTACATACTGTTCTTCATTTTATATTTTCGGGCATCTTGCTCAGCCAAAACACTAGTACTTTCTAAAATATGGAAATGACACACGGAAACTGATGAGCGTCCGCTTTCTCTGCATGCTTTTTAAAAATACAAGATAGAGAAATCCGTAATCCAGCAAAAAATGCTAAGGCCTATTACTCAAAATAATTTCAGTTAAACATACAGTATATATACACACATCGTAAAATATATAGTGTAGAAAAATCATTACTAAAAAGAATAAAATCATTATTCTTAATACGAATTAATATAATGTGGAAAAACGGATGAAGCGCGGTCGGCTAAAGGCATAAACTTTGTCAGGTAAAGTGGAAACATTGGGGAATGGGTCATCCTTACTTGCAGCTGAGAGCTAAGCTGAATTGCGAATAACGCAGCTCAACCTGATCGAGTCGAATGCTTTCTAAGATCGCCTCTGGAACGGCCACCTTATGACTCACGGAGCACAGCTAGGATAGAAGGGTCAATTATGGGATCCCACAATTCAACATTCCCTGTGTGAAGAAACCGGAGTATCCAGCACTTTGTGTGTCTTTTGAAAACTTGGGGGCCCTTGCCCCTGCATTATACTGTCGCTTGTATAAGGATAAAGGGTGGCAGATGAATACAGTGATAATGCTACCTTTGTAAGAAGCATTTAACAGATTTTAATCTGGGTAATAACTGATTACATTTCTCCAGCCTACCAATGACCGCCTGCATGAGGGCTAGCCAAGTTGTTACAAATGTTTCTCGTACGAATAGATAATGATTTTGTCTTCTACTGTTTATCCTTAGATATACAACGATAGTACATAAGCAATAAACATAACACAAAAATTAAAATTGCTTGGTAAAACCGACCCTACCATATTCATATAAAGTCGCTGTTATTAAATACCCTCCGTTTGTGTCAAGCCCATTGACCATTGAGACAAAAGAAAATTAGAAATGAGTTTCAGAGTTGGCGTCCAAGTTTGTTAAAACAGTGCTACCAGGCTGTCCAGAACCATTGGGCAGGTCACTTTTATTACCATCTTCAGGATAATTGTGGCCGGTCCTTAACTCATGACGCGAAAGATGCTGAACGATCCCTGCCCCAAATGAGTCACCCAATACATTCACTGTGGTTCGAATACGATCTCTGGATTAACGGAATAAATGGGAAAATAAATTTATACTGCACAAAAATATTGCAGATGATAAGATCTGCATGAGCACTTACAATGGCGTACACTTTTGAAGTGAATGATGATTAATCGTAATCATTCTGTCTCCTACCTGGAGTTAGTATTCTTCACTCCTCGATCCAGATCCTCATGATTACAGTAGTATTCATAAGTTTATTGATCTTATAAAGCGTATACATGTGACCTATTCAAATACCTTGCTCTATGATTGATTTTAAATCGCATTAAACCACAGTGGCGGAAATTCACTTTTTCCGGGGGGGGGGGGCGAAGCCTTCTAAATTTCCGAAAAAAACTAATTCGTCATTTTCCACGAAGGTGGGGGGACGGACGCCCCCCCCCCGAGATTTCCGCCACTGTTAAACCAATTCAAGGCCGCATATATTAAAAAGTTGGAATCTCAAACGTTGGAATCGTAGAAGTTCCAATCATCGAAAGGGAACCCTCCAAGGCCCAAGCATAGCTTTTTTGGCTAATTTCTCGATGATATGACAATAATGTGATAACTATTAGGGAATTAGCCTTTCTCAAGCTGTCATTTTTGGGGTACTGCCTTTTCCAAATCTGAGATTCTACACAGTGAATAAGGGATTTGTATAACTATAATTGTGAGTATAATCATTATAAGTTAATTATAGTTAAATATTCGAAAAAATGTTTTCACATCGCTTAGATTTTTCACGTCCTTTTCAAAAAAGTACCCCAAAAATGGCGAATTTGGCCTTCGCGAGAAAGACTAATTATGTTTCACTTACAGGAACCAATCAACAGCTACAATGAGACTGACATCACTGACAGGCAATCCAACAGCTTGTAGTACAATCAGCATTGTAACCAAGCCTGCTTGTGGCACACCGGCAGCTCCTACTGATGCGGCAGTTGCAGTAATGCTGAAAACAAAATTAACAAAAATTATTCACACATAATATAATGTTTATGAATTTAATACTATAACTGTGAGTTGATCAGTAAGAGTGGAATTGTAATTAAGACATTTGTCACAATGGTGGCACAGCGATTACTAGTGCATGATAAATCCATCAATCAATCAATCAAATGTGGCTTTCATTTTTGCAACGCAAATGTATTTCCTAACACGCAGTTTTCTGATTACAATTTCTCTTCAACCGCATGTGAGTAAAGTGGTTCCAGTTTGACTCTACCAAACTCTGTAAGACTTTTTTGTTAATTCGGTTTGTTCCTGAAGTAAAACTGGAAACTGATAAATAGCTAATGGACCTTACTGGAAAATAGTTAATGGACCTTACTGGACCTCTAGAGAGAAATTGTCATAGTAGAAAGAGTCATATATACTATATATAAAGTAAATCTGCGACGTCAGCCCTAGAAACACGTGTATCACGCAGGGCCGTTGCGAAGGGATATGGATTGGGGGGGGGGGGGGGGG